GATATTACAGATAAGGGCATTAATGACACTGTATTCAAGAGGTGCCAGCACCATTCTTAGCAGCATTCAGAAAACACCCTTTACACCTCAGCCTAGGTGTGAAACCAGCAGATGGAAATAAAAGCACTTATAAATCAAGCATTTATTTGAAGCATAAGGGCATTCAAGGGTGGCACAGTTACACTGGCTGATATCTTTAATGTGTTGAGGAGTGAAGAGGATATAGAGAATCTCTGTGTGCATTGTAACAATTCCCTGCAGCAGTCACCCTAAGAAACCTCACAGCACCCAGCACCATCCACAGCAACACACCAGAAGGAAGCTCAAGGTTCTCCAGCAGAAGTTGCTGTTCTTGGCCAGGGTCACTCTCTCCTCAACTTAAGGAAGTTTTCTCACGCTCAGAACAGAAAGCCACAAATCATTTGCTTGATCAAATTCATTTTAATACAACTGGGACTTTGTCTGTGCAAAGGTCAAGTATAAACTTTTCAAATCCAAATGGTTTGGTCAGTTTGAGATTTATCTAGGCAGAGCCTCAGAGAGGCTATAGCAATAACTGAATATACCAGAGATATGTTGATTTAAATACCTGGCTCTGGTGAAATGAAGATTTGAAGGTGTGCAAATTCCCAGTCACGAGGACTTAAATCCCATGCCTGGTGTCACAGACCATCCTGATTCAAATTGTGTTTTAACTGAAATCTGCCAGCTGCATTAAGTCATAAAACTTGTCCATGTTTCTCTACAGTTTAAAGAAAGCATTTATGCATTACTAGCATGATAAAGGAATGTGTTGAGAAAACAAACAAATATCAAATTGACTGCACTGTTAATATCACCTGCACTGCTGCTCCCTTGTCCTGGTGCTCAGAGCTGTGACTGTGAGGAGACTCTCTGCCTTCCCTGTATGGCCAAACAAGGGATGGGGTGACCCACGGGACAGGCTGTATTTATCACCAAACAGAAAAGGAATTATCAGTAGGTGCATTGTGGTAAAAGTGTGTCCTAACCTTGGTTTGTTTAACCCAAGCTGAAAAAACAGTCTAATTTGGATTTGAAGTGGATGTGGCATCCAACACTATGGCCATTTCCCCACACTTTCCCCCCTGAGAGAACCTTTCTTTTGTGCCACGGATAGAAGTTTTTCCAGATTATGTTTCTCAATAATGTTCAATAATTCTTTCTTTCTCTGTCCTCCATGCATCCCTCTCCTTCCTGACACCCATCTTTTTCTCCATAGTGATTTCAAGGTTCTCCCTCTTTCATTTCCCCTTCTCCCCTTCTCCTCAGTAGCCCCCTTTCACAGAGCACTGCAGAGAGCAGCCTCTGCCCTGGGCAGTGCCAGGAGCGAGGTGTGAAACCCTGTGCAGCAACAGAGAAACCATCTCACGGTGGTCACACAGATCTCTCTGCCTCCTTGATGCTGCCAGCCAGTGGGAGCACCAGGATTTGTATGTGCCCTGAGAAAAAGCAGGGCACGCATTAGGCAAACGAATCACGCTGCAGGGATTTGTGTAATGAAAAGCACCTTTGCTCAGGGCTCAGAAAGGGTGTGAATCAACCACACACCATTGCCAGGGGCAAATTCACCTGCTATCTCCTTATTCTCTTCTGTCATATTCATTGCTGCAGCATCTCAGCCTCTGGGAGCAGATAGCAGAGCCTGGCCACCCCGTGATTAAGGCACTCTGTCTCAGGGAGGACAATCTGAGGTGATTTACAGAGGGCTGGCTTCCCCCTGTGCCTGCAGCCCTGTCTGTTCCCTAATGCAAACAAAGTAATGCAGACTCAATGATTGCTGTCATTTCCATGTGCCTACTGCTGATCTCTTAATGAAATATTCCACTTAAATTGCACTGGCACAAGCACAGTTCCCTGCTGGCAGGAGCTGCAAAACCGGAGTATCCAGTGAAAAGGTTCTGTGGTACAAAGGAAAGCTGGTAGTGAAACACTGCCTGACTGTTTTGTGCCTTCTCCTGCAATAAACACAACACCTGCCAGGCTTTCTGAAGGGTAAGAAGAGAGCAGAGGATGGAAATTGCCTTTATTTCAGGTTGGGACACAGGAAAACCAGCTGAAATGAGGATGACAGTCTGTGGGGATATGGATTTGGCATTTATGGATGGGTGAGTGGTGTCTGCTCAGTGCTGCTGTAACAGCCTTGCTCCCTCCTGTCAAATCCTGCTGGGAGCACTGCTGCAGAAGAGAAACACTGGGAACATGCAGCACCACACAGACTCTTTGTTTACCTATTGTCACAAGCAGTAAACCAAATATTGGTGGGGGGAAAGCTAAAAATCTGTTCAATGACCAAATGTGTGTTGTAGGAAATAGGAGGAGTAAAATTACTGAAAGCAGTGGGGTTTTTAAAAGTTGATTATATTGTACACTCGGTCTAAACTAAAGACAAATAGACACCAAACATGTTCTTCACTATTCCAGAGATGAATGAGAGCATCAAGCTCACCTTTCCTTAGGCCATCAGCTCTTGCAGAATTGCATGGCAATTCTCAATTTTGCCTCTGCTCTGGCCTTGCACACCTCACCCCTTCCCCAGCCTCCTCCCAGCACGGATCACAAGCAAACAGTCTCTGGCTACAGGCACTGCAGGGTCCCAGGAACTGATGTAGGAGTAGAGAGCACCATCTGAAATCAGGGAATTCACACACTCTGCCTGGGTCACAGCACCCACTCCATCCTGCCTGAGGTGAGGAAATGCTGAAGGTGATGATGAGTTTGTGGTTGACTGATAGAAATACTTTTCCCCTAAATAAAAGCCTATTTTAAGAGCATATTTTTCAAAGCTAACTAGGTGGAAAGTAATGCAACAGGAGCTGTGATTTAGTCCAGCTACTCTACCAAACCCTCCTATAATTTCCTGGGTGATTCGGAGTCCTGTCCTACCCTTTTTCATGGTAGCTAACACTAAAAACTGCGTCAGCAGGCGAGAAATCAACCCTGAATTCAGTGCTGACCCACTAGTAATGTTGAGAGGGGCATTATCTTCCCTGTTCCATCAGTACAAGGCAAATGAGGGAGGCAGTTTCCTTCAGGGAACCAGGGCTGTGTTAGAGACACAGGAAGAAGGGAACAATGCCCAAGATTTGCATTTGCTGAAGGGCTCAGCACATTGCTCCCTTGTGAGCCGGCCAAGACCGACAGCACATGAATCCTTGTGATTCATCCTTCCCCCTGGTCTACCTCTCTGTATCCAGCACGGCACAGAGAACTCTGTGTCTTTATTTATACACAAAAAGGTCTTTACTTGGTACTGTAGTATTTGGGTGCTTGGCCCAGGCTCCCAAGATGGAGCAGGGGTACAGACTGATGTGTTGAACCAGTATTTTCCACTTTTCTGCCAGACTGCTGGGTGACCTTGGGCAGTTTACAGCAACTTCACCTCTCACCACCTCAGTTTCTGCAAAATTATCCTGCTTAACTTTGAATGGAGTGTAGCTGTCAACTGATGCAAGGGCAGGGTATGTTGTTTACATGTGACTCAAATAAAACCAGTGCCTAAAACCTGAAAGCAGCAAGATAGAGAAATTGAGAAAGAACAGAGCAGAAATGTGAAATTGTTCTTCTGCCTCAGCTTTCCTGTGCCTACTGCCCTTCCTAAACACAGGCAATTACAGTCCAGCCCCACCATCCAATTTATTCCGTCAGCCACACTGAGAAGTTCAGGCTACCCCCCAGGGCATCATAAATGACAGGTAAATAAGCCCACACATATTAGGAAGAGTCTCTTTAAAGGTTACAGTTCTGCTGTGCTGAAGAACGCACGTTTCAGGGCAGATATTTCCCTTTGGAAGGCTCTGGGTATGGAAACCTGGCACGAAGGGCAGGTGTTCAGGAAGGACACAATCCAGGCACTGATGCCATGTCAGCTGTGCCTGCCCAGACTGTCATTAGTGGTTTAAGAGGAAGCATAACCCAGAGATGCAGGGGGTATAACCCAGGAATGCACAACATGGTGAGGCTGCTGGTCATGGATGTGTCAGGCAGATGGACTCTAAGCTGTTGAAAAGGCTCATGAGTTTCTGCTGCTCATGAACATCATACACAGAAACTCTCTTCCTCTTACAAATAACTCCTGGAGTTTGCAGGAAGCCCTGCCTAGGGGTTGTGACTGTCTCGGGGTTGAGCTGTGGAGAAGCTGAGAAGCAGACAGCAGCTGCCCGTTGGGGGCGGGAGGCGGACGCGGGCAGAGCCCAGCACCGCCTCTGCAGGACCCGCTGCTCTCGCAGGGGCTGACCCCGCGTGTGAAGCGTCCCTTGCACCGTACACAGGCTCCCAGCGTTTTCTCTGCCGAGTGTTTGTTTAGCTGTTGTCTCCGGCTGTGGCAGATCGGAAACTGCATCTGGAGAAGGTTTGAACGTATCCAGCCCTTTCAAAATCCCCCGTTGTCAGAGGGCTGAAAACCCCGTCACTCTGCAGCCCCACACCTGGCCGTAGGTGTATGCGTGCCCACAGCCTGCCCGGCAGGGGCTTCCCAAGCCTTGCGGAGCCGGGAGCAGGCGGAACGCCCCTCCGTGTGCCTGCCCCCGCCGTGTCCTGCCCCGTGTCACCGGAGCACGTAGGGCTGCGGCCATGCCTGTGTCCCCTGGGCTCCCAGCGCCCACCGTGCCCGGCTGCACTCGGAGCGCGGAGAGTGCGGAGTGTAGGGATGCGGGAGCGTGTGAGGGTGAGTGTGTGTGAGCAGTGTGTGTGTGTGTGAGTGAGGGTGAGAATGTGTGTGTGTGAGTGTGAGCAGTGTGTGTGTGAGTGAGGGTGAGAATGTGTGTGTGTGAGTGAGGGTGAGAGTGTGTGTGTGTGAGCGAGCAGTGTGTGAGTGAGTGTGAGCAGTGTCTGTGTGTGTGTGTATGTGTGTGAGCAGTGTGTGTGTCTGTGAGTGAGCAGTGTGTGTGAGCAGTGTAAGTGTGCGCCCCCGCCCGCACCGTGCCCCCTCCCCTGGGAGCCGGGCAGCTCCGCGCTGTGGGGCGCCCCGTGCCTGTCCCGGGGAGCCTACAGGAACAGGTGGGCGCTGCGTTCGCTCCCCGCCGCGGAGCCGCCGCGCCGCCGGAGCCGGGATGTGACTTGCGGAGGGCTGGCGGACCGAACTGCCCCGCCGCCCTCGGCCGCAGCGGACAGCGGGTGAGCCGGCGGCGGGCGGGGGGACGGCGGCCCGGGACCGGCTCCGGGGATGGGCTGCGGGCCAGGGCACGGAGCGGAGCCGCTCACCCGGCTCTGCGCCCTGCGCTGCCCGCAGAATTAGCTCGGTGGCCGCCAGCAGACAACAGGCTGGATATAGGAATCCTGGGGGGGATTAGACGGGATATAGGGCAGGACGGGGGGGCTCGGAGCAGGGGCTGCGCTGCGGGGAGCGGGGCTGGCCAGGAGGGCAGTGGAGTTCGGAGAGGATGGGGAAGAGGAGCGGGGACAGGCGGGGGAGGAAAGGACGGGAAAAAGAAACCGAAGAGAGAAAGGAGCGAAGGGACAAAGGAGCGGAGGCTGAGGCGGGATAGGTATGGTCCAGCGGGAGGAGGCTGCCGGCGGGTTCCAGCGCGCCCCGGCCCTCGGCCCCGCAGCGCCGTCCTGCGCGGGCGGCTGCGGCCGAGGCCGGCGCTCACCGCCGTCCCCGTGGGGCTCAGGGGCAGGGAAGGGAAAGGCCGAGGGAGAAGAGCCTTTTGTTGGCCCCCGGCCGCGGTCCCGGGGCTGGCGGGGCTCCGGCTGGGTGCGGGTGCGCGGAGTTTTCTCTCTGGTTAATAGAAGCCCTGTGTCCGTGTTACCTCTCCGCAAAGCCACGCAGGGAGAGGATTTAGCACTTATGTGAACCCTTTGTTTACACCTGCCCTTAATGTTTATCCCAAGGCTAACAGGATTTCCTGCGAGCTGAACCCAAACACCCAGCTTGGTGATCAGCGAGTAGCTGCACCGGGGATCCCCTTGCTGCTTACCAGCAGGGAATACCAGGGTTGAGGTGTTGTCTCGCTACATCGGGAGAAACCCGGTGACAGAACCCATCTGCTAGAAGGCTATGACATGAATAGAAACAGTCTGAGAATTAGCGAAGAAAATAAAAAGGTTGATTGCTGTAATTGATTGCTGCCGCTTGTGAATTCTACACCAGGCACTGTGGTCAGAAGTACCTGGGCACACGTGATACACTGATTCTGGCCAAAGGGAATTCAGCTCCTAGAAAATTAGAAAGATAATTTCATAGTGTATCCAGCATCACAAAGTGTTTCTAAATGAAAGCAATACTTTTTCTACATGTCCTTTTTGGAGTGGGCTCTTGCCTTGTGTAACTGCGAGGCTGTAACAGAGCATGATGTGTGTCTGATGCAGGGGCTGTCAAAATCACTGCTGTATTTTTGCCTACAAAGCACAATTGCACTATTAATTATTATTCTGGAAATACACACGTCTCTTGAGTAGTCTGATCTCAGCTTGGCTGTTGCTGCTCTGTTATCAGTCCTGGAGCTCATTCTTCAGTTCTGATCAAAAGCAGCTGGCAGAGATCCTGTGTTGTGATTAATTCCTCACTCACTCGCATCTCTCCACAACACTTCGTGGCGGGGGTGGTTTTCTTTTGGAAATTGCACAGTGAACCAGTCTTCTGCCTGTGTAGTTACTATTTGTGCTACTATTGCTTATATTTACTAGATGCATTTACTGAATGCATTTCCCAGTGTCAGTTGAGTAACATTTGAACTCCAGGTACAGAAGCAGATAATGCATCTAACCATGAATAGCCTAACCTTAACTCTGTGCACAGTTACACATTTATTCTGTATATATATTATGTAGCAGCATACAGCCGTGTCTTTTTGATCCCTTTGCAAGCTTTGGTCAGAATACTTTAACTACAGAAAGCCTCATTGATTTTTAACCGTGACAACTTTTTGATGACAACTGTGAGATTTTCTCTTTCTGCTTAGTTGCTTGTAATTGTAGTTTGTACCCGCTGGGGCAGCTTTGTGTCTGCAATTTCTGTAGTGACTCTATGCCAGATAATGTAATGAAGGGACCTCACTCTGTAGAAAACAGTGGAGTTATTACAGCTGTCATTGAGAGCAGATTTTGAGCCAAAAATTGAGTACTGGATTGAAATAGTAGCTGTCCTGCTAATTGTTCAATGCTTTTGCCTAAAATGTGTAAGGCTTATTGATTAGAATATTGATTGCAAGTGTTCCTGATTGCTCTGGTTTCAGGTATGTTGCCTTAATGGCTTTACCGAAATAAAGTTTTGGAGAGGAATCTTGGGGGATAAAAAAAATCTCAAGTTGCTTTTGTTCCCTGTGAACAGTTCATTGCAGTGTGCAGGGGATGTATCTGTGCTGGAATGTCTCTGTGCTCTCCTGTGTGGCTGTCTGCTCTGGCAGCAGGAGTGAAGTGCCAGCCGAATAGAGCGCTATTGTTACTACTGGGAGGTTGCATAACTTTAGCAGGAGCTAATCTAGACATAAAGATATAAAAACACTCTTCCTCTACAGTTACTGATTTAAGTAACAACCAGCAAGAATGTATAACACCTCAAGAGGCTCAGAACTCTGCCATCCTACCCACTGCACAGGCTTGAGGAAGATAATATTTTAATAAAACCCCCATAATGATGTATTTCTGGTTTTTGCAAAACCAACTTTTCTGGGAAACAAAAAAAAACCCAACAAAACAAAACAAAAAGAACCCCAAAAAAACCCCAAAAACCACCACTTCAAAACAAAAAAAAAAAAACCCCAAAAAAACCCCAAAACCCACCACTTTACAGTTTTCCCTTAAAATGATTGAATCTGTAGTTTTAGCTAAAGTTGTGATGTTCACTTGCCAAACTTGTGTGTTGTAATGCAGTGCTTCCCCTTGTTTTTATAACTGTCTGTGTTCAGTGCTGAATATCAGCACAAGAAAGAGGAGTTTTTTTGGCTAGTAATGTCTCAGGGAGTAGATTATTAATATTGCCTGGTTCTAGCCAGTTAGGCAGAAATTGATAGTAAACACGTTAGAAACAAACTGCTTTGTTGATAGCAGTTAGGAGACTTCAAGCTCTGCTTTCCAGCTTTGCTCTGGGCAGGATCTAGTGTTTAGAGAGACTCACTGACACTGGGTAGGGAATTATTTCATCAAGAGTAGCTGTCAGCAGTCCTAGAGATTTTCTTGGTCAGTACTGTGGCTGTCTGGAACATTTCTAAGAGGACCATTGATTATGTCCATCAGCTTTCCCAAAAGCACAAAGTAACTTGGGAAAATTCCTCTTGAGTTGAACACCTCTATATTTCAGAACACGTATTTTGAATTCTGAGTATATTTTGTCACAGCTTAATTTCCCCTTTCCAAAACTAACCACTTCTTCATGGAGGGGGAAATACTCAAATTCATTAACCCTCCCTTCCCCCTCCCAAACACTTCCAAATAGGAAGAGGAAACAAATGATGGCCTGACAATATGACTGCTTACCCATGCAGCACAATCTCCATGGAAACAGACTGTCCTAGAATAGCTCAATCACATGAGGGTTACATGACATGAATAAAGTAACCAGAAAACTGGAAAATATCTTAGAACTGGGGATACTTACACTTAATTAATTACCCCCCAGGTCTTTGGAGAGTAGCTAATAAACAAAGCTAGCATTGAAAGCAATTTAGTCCATGCTTGCTACAATTTGTAAGTGATGGGATAGTGGAAAATTAACATGACCCTCACTTTGGGGCTGTTTATTGTTTCTAGTTTGGGTGACATTTAGAATGAATTTTGAATCATTTTCCACATGACCTCCTACTTCTTGAAACGGTACCACGGGTTTGGGGCATTGCCTTAGTAGGTCCCAGTGGATTTCCCCCTTTTGTGTCAGCAGGCACTGACCATTTCACACTTTTTCAGATGTTTCAAACTCTAAAGAGGAAATTCACTAGTTGCCGTAGGAATTGACTGTGCATGAAAGGAATTGGAGAACTATCTTCGGAATGTTTTCTTCTAGTTAATTATGTACTCAAAGGGCAAGGAGATTTATTGAGCGTATATTCAATACAAAAATGAATATATTTCACTGATGATTAGTTTTCTGTCTGTAAAGTCAATGTTTTTAACGTGGGTGTTGCAACAGAGTCATTGAAGAACCTGTTACACAAATCAGATACAAACAAGTGTATGTTCTACCAATCCACCATAAAGTAAATTACAGATAGGTAGAAAAAACAAATCATTTGTCCTTAGCAGGTCATTGCATCGTTAGAACATTGCAGCCCTTCCAATAGTGCAAAGATTAATATCTGTGGGCTGGCAGAGATCACCCATTACCCATTTCCTGTTTGTCCAAGCCCACATCACATTATTTGTCACAGGTTCCACTTCTGAGATGAAGGTTTGTAATAGGATGTTTTGTACCCTGTGAGGGTGCAGACCATAGAGTCATTACAGGTTTATATTGGCATGTTTGCTCTCTTGGTGCCCCTGATGGCAAACATCATAAACTTCATCATCTGTCTCCTGATAGAGGCTGGACATGGCCATTGGTCATGACACAGGGAAACACTGGTTTGAGGATTCAGAGCCTCAGGATTTAACTGTGGTCATTACAGGACTGTAAACCCATAGTTCTCAGCTCTAAGAGACACAGTACAGTTTCAGACAGTCTGTGTAAATAGCTTTTCTGTTGGTTATGACTGATTGTGCTCAATGCAACACTGCACCACTACTTTAAATAATTTTCAACTCTCGTTAAAGTTTTCCAAAAGCAGTTCTAATCTTTGAAATCTCTTTGGACAGGTAACCATTTAGGGCTGTTGATGGCTTACAGAAGAGCTCCTGATAGTTACTCTGCTTTTCACTTTGCACCCTAAACATGTCCCATGAGCTGCGTGACTCACCTTGACTCACATCACTGCCTGCTTGTGTGGTGCTTTTCTTCCTCGTGGTCATGCAGTGCCAGTGGGAGTCTGAAACATCCCCCACATCAATGAGGAAAATCCTGCTGGAACCTGCAGCACTAGCTGCTGGTGAAGGTTAACAGAGTCAGGTTTCATATCTGCTCCTCACAGTGTTTGCTCCAGACTGCCCTTACAGGGCTGTGGCTGGGGCAGACTGTGAGTTAAAGGTTACATTTTTTAGTGATCTGCTTTGCTTAATAAAAGCAAACGCCATCATGTGTGTTTTTAAAGCACCTAACCCATGTTCTTCCTGAAACAAAGTTGGGATTTGCCTAGGCTTTTGGTCCTGGTGGTGAAGTGGGATGTGCTGTGTTCCTGGAGTGTTGACCATTGTCCTCTCTCTGGATCCAAGAAAGATGCTCTGGGTTTTGTTATTTGTCTCCTTTGAATGGCTTTGGACTGGCTAAGAAGCACAATGAGGCATTCATTTTTGATTAGTTGATTGATGATACTGCATGTGTGCACCATTGTCACAGAATATGGGATTTTTCTAGACTACCATTCCCATTTCCAAATGCAATCTAATATCTGGAAGAGGATAAAAGAAGTGAATATGATTACTGCCAATTGACAAAGCATGAAAATGAGATTTTTCTTTTTTTTTTAAGAATGTAAAATGTTTATTTTCCTTGGATTGCTTTATCCTTTAAAAAGTAATAATTTAAAAAGTGGTTTTGGTTCTGTCTTTGTTCCAGTACAAGGAGCAAGGCTGTGGGACAGTGTAATTGTGATATTGCTTACACCTGCATCAGGCCCAGTGCAACTTAAACACGCTTTAAACACTTTGATTTGAATGGGGTATTACATTTAAACAGGTACTAAGTGTCCAGGTATTGCAGATAATGTAAGATTTGAAACAGGATACATAATTGTTCCTGGCTGTGTTGCAGGCCATTTGCAGGGTCAGAGTTTGGAAATGTTGTTTTCAATCTGTGCAAACAGAGCAGTGAGTCATTTTGCATTCTGAGTACAACAGGCAAAAGCAGATTTTGGGAGGGCAGTGGAGGGGGCTGGGGGAGGCTGTGCCAGCTGCAGATCCAGTGCAAAAACTGTAAACATGGGCCACTGGAACAAGCTGGGCTTCAGTGGCTGTGAGATCCTCCAACCTCAGCTCCCGCTAAACAAATACTTTGTTGTCTCAGACAGAAAAATGAAAACCTACCCAGCCATTGGTTTCTTCCTCCTGCTGGTGATCAGCTATGGCTCCTCAGAGAACTCCAGCACGCCGCGGGGCTGCGGGCTGGATCTCCTGCCCCAGTACGTGTACCTGTGTGACCTGGATGCCATCTGGGGCATCGTTCTGGAGGCGGTGGCGGGGGCAGGCGTGCTGACCACGCTGCTGCTGATGCTGATTTTGCTGGTGAGGCTGCCCTTCATCAAGGACAAAGAGAAGAAGAGCCCCCTGGGAATGCACTTCCTCTTTCTCTTCGGGACTCTGGGACTGTTTGGGCTGACGTTTGCTTTCATCATCCAGGAAGATGAAATGGTGTGCTCTACCCGAAGGTTTCTCTGGGGAGTTATCTTTGCTTTGTGCTTCTCCTGCTTGCTAGCCCAAGCCTGGAGGCTTGGCAGGCTGGTTCGCCACGGGAAGAGCCCGTCTGGCTGGCACCTGGCCGGGGTGGCCACGTGCCTGATGCTGGTGCAGGTCATCATCGCGACCGAGTGGCTGATCCTGACGGTTGTCAGAGACAACAAGCTGGCCTGCAGCTACGAACCCATGGATTTTGTCATGGCTTCCATTTACGTCATGTTCCTGATGGTCTTTACCATGGGATTTTCGTTCTTCACTCTCTGTGGGAAGTTCAAGAAGTGGAAGAAAAACGGAGTATGCCTCATTATAACCCTTTTCTTTTCCATTCTGATTTGGGTAGCCTGGATGACTATGTACCTCTTCGGTAACGCCGAGCTCCAGAGAAGAGACAAATGGAGTGATCCCACTCTGGCCATTGCACTGGTCTCCAGTGGCTGGGTGTTTGTTATTTTCCATGCCATCCCAGAGGTCCACTGTACCATCCTTCCATCGCAGCAGGAAAACACACCCAATTATTTTGATACTTCACAGCCGAGGATGCGTGAAACCGCTTTTGAGGAAGATATACAGCTTCCTCGGAGCTACATGGAAAATAAAGCCTTTTCAATGGATGAACATAATGCAGGTAAAAATTGGCTATAAAGCACTATATTTTTTATAGTGTCAAGAAAACTCTCTGTATGAGACATTTTTCAGGTGTTGAAAACAAAGGTCATGATAAATACAATAATTTTCACACTACACCTTGTTCCCTTTTACAATTTTCACTAAGATATCATCTAGTGAGAGACAAAAATAAAAAAAACCACAAACAATACATAGGTTAAAATTATCTTCTGCATGTTGATTTTTCTTTGAAAAAACAAACTACTTCAAATGCAAAGGCAACACCAAAAGAATAAAAAAATCATTGTGGAAAAATAACCTTTAAATAATTTAAATGACCTTTTTTTTTATAATTAGCAGTTATCAACATTTAATACAAAATATTTTCCTAAAATCTCAGACAAAAAATGAAGTGGTCTGTGTTACAAATTGCTCAACCACTTGAGCAACAAAATAATTACTATTAATTATCTTTCCATTAAAATGGATTTAGTGCCACTTTGTGTCCCTGTGGGGGGAAAAATGCCAAGTGGCTTACAGACAGTTCAAAGACAGCCTTTGTTCTGAAGGCTTGAACATCTGAGGTTTCACAGAGGTTTTGAGGTAATTTGCCTTCCTTGTTGTAGAACGTGATCACACATCATTAAAATTTGCAGTGGGAATGTTTTTGAGTGATTGCTGAAAGGACCAGCAAGAACTGGGTGCTGCAGAGCTCCAGCCCCTTGCTGAAGGTGTAACCCATGTCAGAAATGCCAGGGGTGCCTCCGTGACCAGCAGTGGGAAGCAGCAGCCCCGTGGTGTTCTTAGGGGGCTGTGGTCTGGTGCTGCCCCACACCTGGGTAAAGGATTTTGTCACAAGTCACACTGTTTTTTTCACTCTAATTGAGAAGAATACTGGCCTGGTAGTCCGGGCAGCAGTTGCTACATTGTTCTGGCAGCTCCTGAAAGAAAGCTTAGAGCACATGGTCCAGGCACTTCACCTTCCTGCTCATCTTTATGTGTCAGATTTCCTCTGGGTTTGATGTTTCCCTGGGTGCTGACCAGGCACGGAGGAAAAGAGCACTTTTGTTTGGCACAGAAGTGAGTGTCAGGTCAGGAAGGCATTGTTTCCTCTAAGTTTTTTAGCAGGAACTTTAAAGATCTTCTAGTAGGGAGGTTTGTTCTGTGAGTAGATACCATAAGGGCAGTGGTAAAACAAAAAAAAAATCACATGAATAAAAGAATGGTTGTTATTACTAATGTTCTAAAGCAAGAGGCAGTTGCACTATGGATTGTTAAAGGCACTCTTTTTTTTATGTGGTGTTTTTTTTACTGTCCTCCATCCCTCATTAAATTAATTTCATAGTAAGGTAACTGCAGTGGCTTCAGTGAAGCTATTTCTGGCTAAGGCAGATCTAAGAACAAAATTGGATCTTTGTATCATTCCATTCATGGGTGCATTTTTAAAAAAGAACTGGAAGCTCCTTTCTGATCTAATCATTCAGTAATTAAGTTTTTTTGTGAAATGGATAGATGTATGATAGCCACAAAATCATTATACTGTCTATTATAGTGCAATTTATGTTCTGTTTTAATCTATGTGAATGACAGTACAATACAAAATAGATTTCCTTATCTGATGCCCGTGTTAATGTATACCATAATAAATGCCAGTCATTCCTATTCCCATGGCATAAAGGAATTTTTAATACATCAAAACAGATTAAATATTCCTTTGCAGCAGTTCTTTAGGGACTGGCTTGGGACAGCAGGGTTTGGAGACAAAACTTAGCATCATGGTAGAGACTTAAAGAAATAATTTAATAATAACAAAGACACTAAGTCAGATCCCTGTGCTGATGGTTGTCAGTGGCAAAGCACCTGGAGTCTGTGAGCAATTGGCTCTGCAGGTATGAAGAGAATGTTCTCTTCTTTCATCTATTTAAGCAGACTCAGCTTGAGAATTCATCATCAAAAGTTCAGAAATTACTGGAAGGGTACTTTCTTCAACTACTTCTTACTTAAGAATGATGTTTAAGAATAGAAGATCTACTAGTTGTAAAGTTTGGAAGACATGATAAGCAGAAAACAGGTTCCTAACTGTAATACTTGTTTCAGTAAATAGTTAGCTTTAAGTAGAAAACATGCCTGGACAAACATATTTTCCATTAATTCTTGTTGTTTCCACTAATACTTGTATAAAATAATTTCATAACTTCCATATTTTTTAAGATTTTAAGCAGCATTTTAAGAATCTGGTTAGCCTTCAGGTTCAAACAAGCAAATATCCTCCTTGATTCCTCCTTTCTTAGCAAAAATATACCTTCAAGTTATGCATTGCAACAAGAGCTGCTCTATGCCAGGAACAACATTAAGCATTAATAGAGCAAACCTATTTTAAAGTCACTAACTTAAACATCATTTAAACAGCTTACTAATCTGGGATTTTAATATTTATATGATAGGTTGTAATATCTCTTCAGAAGAGTTATTTTTCATAGGTGTGCCTTCTAAAATGGTATTAAAGTATTTATTAAGCCTGGACAAAGAGCAGTTGACTGAGTTCTCAGTGCTCTCTGGAAGTGCAGTGCACACCAGTAGGGCAGCCTCTGTAGGCAGGGAGAATTTAATTGCCTTAAACAAGAGAAATCTGGATGTGAAATGTAGAATGCTCCAGCTGTCAGGAAACCCAAGCCCAAACAGCTCTGGTATCATTAAATTTCATTTAGTAACTTCTAATACTACCAGTCATCGTCACAGCCAATACCTAAAAGCAAAGTGAACAAAATTTCAAATGTGTTACAAAGAGGCTTTGACAAATATTAAATATCCTCAGTACTGCTTGTTTTTTTACCTATACATACCCTATGCAAGTGGATTTATTTAATAGCAATGTAAAAAGTACAAGGAAAACGGTAAAACCAGTGTGAGAAAAAAATCCAAAATGAGTATTTTGTCTACAAGCTTTGACAGAGATTCTCACATCAAAAAAAGTGTAGCTGTTTGCAGTAATAGGGAAAGAAAATTTGGCAATATGAAATTGAATTTACTGGCTCTTTAAGATAGCTTGGAGATGACTGTCTATTTTGTGTAAATATTCTGTATAAATATTTTAATGATGGTGTGCATGAGAAAGATTTTTGTGTCTGTGTGTAATAGCAAATTAGAGTGCAATCATGTGTGTTTATCACACAAAAAGTAGTCAAATAGCCAAAAAAAGTTACTGACCTTGACATGGTTATATATCTAATAGAAAATACTTAGTTCCAGTTTAGGCATTTTCATATTTTTTTCTCCCAGTGTTCTCCAAAAATATGTAATTTCCAAATAGGGAGCAAGTGTGGGTCTATATGTATCTGAAGTCAACAGCTGAGCATTTGCAGGGTGGAATTTCTAAATTTCCATGCTAAATCAGTACTGTTCTTCATCTTGGTGCACAACTCCCAAAGAGAGGAGTAGCAGTGCATAGAGGACAGCATATGGCAGTAGGATCCATTTAAATCTTCTTCTACACAGAGCAGCTACACTGGAGATAAATCCTGGCTTCCTTAAAGTCTCTGCTGAAATGCTCATAAACTTCAGCTCATTCATTATTTCAGCCTGAGACTGTAGAATTGTAATTTGAATTAAATCTAAGAGAAGTTCTTGCCCCAGGTGCCTGAACTGGGCATGTTTGTGTTTAGCAGCTGACAGATGAGTTCTGCCCACTGTGACCACGCACGTCGTGTGGATAAATGAGCTCTGTTCCCTGGCCACGTCTGAGTTCACTGGAGTCATTATTTACCCTCGAAATTAAAGAGGGAGTTTGTGTGTGCCAATCCCCAGCCTGCTTTAGAGAGAGCAGCATATCCCTCATTATGCATATCTCACTCAGAATTTACATCTTGAACCCAAACTTGTACTAAAGTTAATGGGGAGAGTGTTTTATTCCTGGTATAAACATCCAAAAGGACACTCAGTATCTTCTCTTTGGCTTCAGTGATTTGCCATGTTTAAGCTATTTGAAAGCAATATTTACTCCATCTTTCCAGTTTCTCAGAGTAAATATAATCTGAAACATCTGGAAAATCCTTATTTGCTAGTCATGCTGAAGTAATGCTCAGGGGGTTGTGAGCATTTGCTTACTGGCTCGAGCAAGGCTTTGGATCCCTGTCCACCGAGTTCGATAGAAAGCAAAATGTAACACATTTCACTTAACCCCACAATATCCAGACCAGCACTGTGCAAAACGCATTGTGCAAGATACATCACAAGTTTGGTGACTAAAGACACTGAGCTCCCACTGAAATGAGATTAAGCAAGCTTCAAAAATGTGGTTCCTTTTTCCCCCTCCCTAGCGAACAGTTCATTTAATGTAAATCCGATTCTCCTGAGAATCCCAACGTGTCAGGGAAACAGCTGTTCAACAGCAACGTGGAAGTAAAAACCAGTGGCAAAATTCCCAATAAGCAAACTGAAGGAGAGGCTCTGTGGTTGGCCAGCTTTACCTGTGTGCTAAGCGTGATCTCTGTCTCCCACGCAGCGCTCAGGACGGCGGGATTTCGGAACGGCAGCCTGGGGAGCCGGCCCAGTGCTCCTTTCAGAAGCAATGTGTATCAGCCAACTGAGATGGCAGTTGTGCTAAATGGTGGGACTGTAAGTATCAAAATGTGATGATTTAAGAAATCTTTGAAATGCACTGATATATACAACCGTTACTAATTGAAAAACCTGCTTTAGCTTATTCACAGCAGGGGGAAAGCTATAAATGAAAATTAAGGCAGAAATTATGCATGTAATGCTTCCCTTCCCTCTAGAAAATATGTAGTTAACAAGTATTTTGCATTTGTTTACTTGGCTATTCACATTTTGCAGTGCAGCTTCAGTGAACCAAGTATTTTTATAAGACAACATATCCAATGGCCCTTTCAATTAAATTTGTGTTAAGGTATTTAACACAACTATTAAGTGACACCATTTCTAACCTGATTTTTTTCAAGATGGTGTGAGTCACACAGGTGTTTTCAGACAGTATGTTACTTTACATAATTGTTGCAGATAATGGTTGTCTCTCATATATATTCCATTTTCTTGTAAAATACATGTAACTCTCTGTAACTTACAGATTTGTACATATTTTGAAAAGAGATTCATAAAAGAGGAAAATAGAATATTTTCATGTTAATAGCATCAATTTTTCTTCCTTGGACAATGGTTTGGCATGTCTTTGATAGACCTATATTTTTGCAGCGTGGTTGTTGTAAGATTGGTTTAGTGATGCCAAACAGACTTTACAAATGTTTTTCACATTATGTCTAATTTTCACTTAAGACATTTCATATAGCAGGCATACTGTTGAAAAAGAAAAAAATTCATTCCCACATTTTTCATGCATATCTACATGCTTCTTAAAAATCTACTCATGAGCCAGTTTGTACTCATGTGAGTTGGGTTTTCTTTCTTTTGAATCATGAGCTGATTCCATAACTCAACCTCCACAATTAAAGCCAGTTTAAAATGAAATTGCAGGTCTGGTTTTGTTTTTAAGTAAGTAAAGTTCTGGCTGATTTTAGTGGGCAAGAGGGACTAGATGCAAGAATTCTCCTCTGTGGTAAGACTGTGTGAAACATGTCAACTTGAGTAAAATGAAAAGGCTTGGCTTTGCTGTCAGTAATGGATTGCATCCTTCTGATGTTTTAATTCATCTCTGCCTGTTTTCTGATACCAAAATGTGCAGCTCAGGGAGAAAGCAGTTAAAGGATGAGAAGCTTGAGAATTTGGGTTTTTTGTTTGTTTTGCTTTGTTCTGAGTTGGATGCAAAGCTCATGTGTATGTATAGTAATGGTTTTACAGAGAGATAAATGCACTGTATGGGTGGAAGATGACTTTCTTTGTATCACTTTGCTCTAGAACTGCCATCTGGAAAGCTGTCCTGTACATGTAGTGTGATAAACACTGACTTTTGAACAGTCCAGATCTCTCAGTTATGGGTTTATTATCCTTATTTCCAGATACCAACTGCTCCGCCAAGTTACACTGGACGACACCTCTGGTGAAAGGCTGTAGGCTGTAGAGAATAAGAATCCTTGTTGCAGATGTTGTTCCCTGGCAGTGTGTCTTTGAGGGAAGGAATCCATAACAGTACCAGACAAAGCAACAAAACATCCAGGATCTTTCTAAATCCTGCAGAGGATTTTGCCTAAATGTGAACAACATTGAATGGAGAATTGCAAAAACAAAATTGTAAAACTGAAGCTAAATCTAATTTAAAACAGAAGTAGGCACACCTTAATTGGCAGAGGAGATGTATTCTGAAGTGTAAGATATTCTCTTGTCTGTAACTTGTGTGCTAGACAAGCCTGGTTTTGGTGGTTGCCAGTTGCTTGCAAAATACCTTCCTCTCACCTAAACTTAACTCGTGTTGCCACAAGAGATTGCCACTACAGCGCGAAAACACGCGGGATTTCTTTCCATTTTCCTCCTTTCCCTGTCATTTCCAACGTCATGAGAAATCCCTGGTTTGCTCCCTCCCTAGCTGTGCTGTGCAGTCACAGCACCGTGTGTAGGCAGACTCGGTCCCCGTGGCTCTGTGGCTCTGCAGGCTGATGCTCTGCTCTCAGGAGCTCTGCAGGCTGATGCTCTGCTCTCTCAGGAGCTCTGCAGGCTGATGCTCTGCTCTCAGGAGCTCTGCAGGCTGATGCTCTGCTCTCTGGGGAGCTCTGCAGGCTGATGCTCTGCTCCCAGGAGCTCTGCAGGCTGATGCTCTGCTCTCTCAGGAGCTCTGCAGGCTGATGCTCTGCTCTCTCAGGAGCTCTGCTCGTTAGCAGCTGGCCCGGGAGGGGCAGTTCTGGAGCTCTGTGCACGTTTCGTGCGCCTTGCGGAGCCTGTCGGGCGCGGGCGGCTCTCCCGGCCCGAGGGATGGGTTCCCAGCCCCGCAGCCGTTCCCGGGGCGCTGCTGTGGCCGGGGCCCTGCGAGCCCCGAGCCCCGCTCCCCTCGACTGCGGGTGTTCGTGCGTTAAATGTGGTTGTGCATTTTAGTGCCTAGAGAGTAGAATCTCTGTGCTGGAGGTGGTTTGTTGTTGTTTTTGTTTATTTAAGGTGGTTTCTTCCCTAGTCCTCCCCATCCATTTTCTTGAGTTGATATAAGGCAGAGTTTTCAAGGCTTTTCATCTTCGTTCTCTCCAGGTTATTTAAACGGTTCCCATTGCCCATTTGTTGTGCCATGGTTTTTCATTATGTTCAAGCAATCATTCCTTTCTTTAACATTTAATACATATCGGACATTGAAAACATCACTGTATCCTCACTGTTTGGCCAATGTTAATCTTAGCTTTCCTCAATACTAAAAGCTAATTGTTTTTACTTGAAGGCATAGGAAACATATAACAATTAAACTTTGCATATGCTGTAATAAAAATATATATTTTCAAACTAAAAAAAAAAGTACAAATAACTGGATAGCTTAGTAGCTTCACAGAGAGAAGTTACTTGCTGTATACTGCAGAAGAAAGACAAGCTTTTTATTTTTCAAGAGTCTTCCTGATTCCTCATGTACCTCCATTTCTACTGAATTAGGAGCCTAGTCCTGCAGACTTGTAGTCCCACGAGTAGTCCCACCAACACCAGTAGGTCTGCATAAGGTACAGAGGCTGCAAGACCAGTCCCTGAGTGTTGCACACAGATATATGTATATATATATATGGAAAAATATCTATTGCCATTCTTGCCATGATCATCTTATGGGGTTTTATTTCAAAGCCCTTCTCCTCCAGAAGCAATGTTTTTCTGTCATGCATGAGTGAAGGAGTATGTCAGCTCCCCCCTGCCCTCCCCTCCTCGAGGCAAAGGAAGCATGTGCTTGTTTTAGGGATCCTTTATTTCATTTTGTATGTAACTAGATGGCCTTAGTAACCAAGTAGGGTAGGGGTGGATATTGCATGCTATCCAGTGACTTAGAAATACATTTTGCTTGTTATGAGCAGAGCTTTGATCAAATAAGAGAATATTTAAGATAATGATTGCCACCCAGAAGACATGTAATTTGGAACAATTAAAAAACTATTACCATCACTTGCCTGCAGAATTTTGCTTTTAAAAATCAGTTAGAAAAAAATCCCTCATAAAACTCTTATCATAAAAACATATAAGATGACCATGGCATAAATGGTAGGACAGGTTTCTTTTAAAAAGTTTATCATGCTACAACCAAGACTTATGAATTATAATACATATTTTACAGACCTTTGACAAAAACTATACAAGACATAGTTATCTTAAGAAATTTTCTTTCTCTTTTTCTAGATGTGACTGAATTGATAAATTAAGTTCCCAATCCTGCTTCTGATGAAGTTGTTTGGGATTTCAGGGCTTATGCAAAGATATGGCCAGATCTTACAAACTGCAATTCACATGACTAGTCTCACTGGGTTATTCATGTGGACTATTCACTGAATAGAAAATTAGCAGGATTGGGTTTAATGTGTGGTGATGAAAGTGTGGCAATAGATTTAGGAGGGTCTTTATTTTCCAACTTTTTACAATTAGTAATGAGCAACTTTTTTTTTGTAAGTCACTAGTCTGTGATGTGAAATGCCCCAAAATAAAACTGTAATTGAAGAAAGGCACCTTTATGTTAACTTATATTTTTGTTACAGTATTTACTTTTGCCTTTTTTGAAAGTTTTCTAGAATGTAGAGCATCTGTGAACAACATGAATAAGTAACTAAGCACAAGCCTTTCACAGTTCTCCTGATTATAATTAGCTTTTATACTATAAAAGCTACTATGTTGTCCCTTGAAGGTAATGTGCTCATGGTGTTTCCATGCAGAAAAATGAAATCAAAAAGCATCTGACAAAAGCATCTATTAGCAAAACAAGATTTAAAATGACCAGCTTTTGATCAATGGCAGGAAAAGAGTTCAAAGTCCTACAGATCCTGTCCAGCATTCAGATGGGTTGAGGGTGTTTGACACTTGCCAGAAAATATGTAGCATTTTCAGAAGAACACTCTCAATACATCCAGCTGCTTCTATAAACAAGGTACATGAAATACTATGGAATTAGCTGTTTCTGCTTTTAGTGTAAACACAGGCATCTTGGTTGGCTTCGTCTGAGCTCGATGCCTTGGGTCTAACCAAAGGCCATACAAAAGGGAGCATTGTAGCTTTTATAACAAAACAATTGGATTATTCTACCAACTTACAGGATTACAAAGCAGGTGCTTTTTATTAATTGATGAGAGCTGAAGCTCGTTTTTGATAGATGATATATATTTATTAAATGTATTAACGTGTGTTTTATAACGTACCCTTTTTTCCGCTGACTGTTGCATACTGGTATCTTACTGAGTACATCTTTAAAGGATTTTCAAGACAATCAATGTGTACCATGATGACTGTACATAAGTATACGAAACTACAAAGGTTGTAAAGCATGGGCAAATGTTTTATTTTCAAAATGCTGTTCTTAACGAGAATAAAGGCTTTACTATTTACTTACAATCTTTGTGTCCTCTTGGTTTTAAAATCCACACAGATTTTTTCCATTGCAACAAGCCCTGCTACAGACAGAATTGCTCCTTGGTGCAGTTGCTCAATGTAAGCAAAGTTAAACTGAAGGAAAGGGCTCCTAAACCACATTCCTCCACCTCTGGCCACATTCCCACACTTACCCTTAGCTCTGGCACCTATCACACCCATGGTGAGCCAGTCAAGGAGCTCAGAGCCAAACTCAAAACACAAAAGGGATACTTTTTTCCCCCCTGTTGGCTCAGCAGTTTCCTGTTCTGGTTCAATTGCTTGTGAAAAGAAGGGGACAGAAGAATTCAGCTGGGCTTGAAGAGTGCAGAATGAGAGTTTTTTCTTCAAATGGTTTGATTTTCCAGAGTAAGAACCATCATCACCAACCAGGAGAAAACCCAAGGGGTGGGTGCTGGTGTAAGAGTGAGGACAAAATCTGTGCAAGTGAAGGAAGAAATTCATGTGGAACCACAGCAAGTGCTGCAGACCACCCATGTTTTATTAGGTGTTCAGTCAAAACAACTACACCTTTGACTTACATGGAATTATTTGTAGTTCTGCTACTATCTTCTCTAATTGTGAAATTAAAAAGGCAGAAATAGGATTGTTCTTGAAAGGACTAAGTTAAAAAAATAATAAGGGTTCCTTAGCAAGGGCCCCAATCTGATTTTTACTGTGCTTGGACCTGATATAAGTAAGTAGCCTGCATAAGATTGCTGAAAATGCTGACCCTGGTGTCTTAATTCTACACTTTCTCAGCACATGTGCTAAGTGGTAACAAAAGGGCCTTTGACTTTTCTCCCCTGCAGAAATGCAGAGCAACCCCAGCTCTCATTGCCTTCCATTGGAATTGCAGAGCATTTCTGCAAATTAGACCATTCTGAACAGAGCCTGGATTTGTGTAAATTGTCATAGCTCTGCAGGAGTCAGAGACGTCCAGTTTATGATAAATGAAGATTTAACACTCGCCTACATGCGGGTAGAGCCCTGTTTAATTTCATCCAGAGTTTTGTTCTTGTCAGTAAAGGTTTTAAGTGAGCATTCAGGAACACAAGATAAATACAGATTCAACATTTTTGGCTAGATGTGCACCATTCCATCTGTTTTAACAGAATTGTGCTCACTTTAGACCAAGACTGAATTTTGTCTTGGCATGCTGGGTCCTTACATAACCTGCCTTTGATTTACAATACCTCACATGTAAAACTTTAATGCTAAAAGGGTTTCTAAATCAGTATCACAAAGTCCATGAGCTCTGTGCTTTGCAATTTCAGTGAGGAAACTAAAATTGAGATGTTGAAGGATTTTGTTTGTCCAGCTCTTCTGATTTGCTTCTCACTGCAACCATACAAAAAAAAAAAAAAAGAAAGATTAACAGGCAAAGAATCATCCATACTTCTATAGCAAATACTCTGTTGTTCAATAAATAAATAAAAATCCCCTACCCAACCCAAAATGTGTATGTCTTCGCTGCATGGCATTTTTTTTCATGTTTTGACGCACAGCTTCAGCACTCAGATACTTGCACACAGTTCTTTGTGCAGCTGTGGGAGTTGTGCATGTGTAGCTAAGGCAGAGCTGTTTGCTAGTAAGAAGTCACTGGCTTATTAAAAAAAAAAATTGAAAGCAGCTCTTTGAGGTTTTTGCTTTGAAGAATTTTCAATTAAAAGTCAGTGATGAAGTCATACAGTTCACCTAGCATATAAATATATTTTTGTCACTTAGGACAACAAGCAAGGTCAATAAAGAATAGTTTCTCTATGTCTCAGTGGAAAGAAGAATGTTATCCATGTGATTGCAAAGGGTCTGCCAAATGGGAAAAATCAGTCAAACAAAGAGCACAGGATTGCTTGCTGGAGTAAACAATTCTAAATGAACAAAAGCTCTACATAAAAGTAAAATGTCCCACCCCCTGGTGAAAGCTGTTTTCAAAGCTCTGTATTCTTTCAGAATGTTGTAATACAGATTAACCTAATGTTTTTCTTCTGCTGATACAACAGTCTGGTTCCTCATTCTACTTGTGTGATTTCAGCTATCTTGTTCTGGTTTTGATATTTTAAGATTTTACAAACTGCCTTTCAACTTAAAAAAATCTGCTTTTCTATTTCCTACACTTCAGAAGATGTGTCTGTACTATACACCTTTTACATCAAGCAAGTTTGTTTGGAGATTTATGTATAAAAGCTATGCTAGAGGCAAAGAAATCCAAATAAGCCCAAAAAAATCCCCTTTTGAACATACAGTTTCAGGACAGCTTAGTTACCCTTCCAAGGCATGCAACTGAAAACCAGCAGACAAAATCCTCTTGGTACATACCAGGAATACTGGGCTGCAGCAGGCCCATGTGCTAATTTAAGGTGCTCAGAGTGCTCCCAACCTGGAGAATGCCAGCTCATAGAAAGCATCCAGGGAAAGTGCTGCATGAGGAGGGACACAGCAATCCCTTAGAAACCCCAAATGAGACTGCAGCAGCAGGAGAAACCCTCTTTTACAATGGTCAAGGCAATACAGTGCCTCGATGGCACAAGACCTTTCTGGATTTTAGGGTTTCTGTTTGTACAGTTAAGGAGAAAAATCAAGAGTGGGTTTAATATCCCATATGACTATGAATGTCCTATATACAAAATGCTTCCTATTGCATTGAATTTTAGCTAATATTCTTTGATGTGATGAGGCTGACATTTGCAAATATTTAATAAAAATTGCAACATTTAGAAACCTCAGGGCTTACACACTTTCACATTAAAATGAGCAGGTGTTTAAGGTATCTGCTAGCAGTGCTTTTAGTCAGTAGTGTCCTTGTCTTATCATAACCTGTGTTACTTAAGCATAACAATTTCCAATCACATCACACCAAGCAGGAAGCCCAGGCTGTCAGGATAAATCTGGATTTCAGGCAGTTATTTAAATAGTTTTTGACATAGACTTGCTTCCTATGCAGATAGAGAAGTAAGATGTCCTCGGGATTCAGATAAGCTGGAAAGATGGAGAAAGAAGCTGCCTGGTTACCTTTTTTTGCTAGAAATTTCCATTGGAGAAATGCATTTTTCAGGCTGTGACACCTCAAACTGAACTAGCTTGCTTAAAATATTTTGAAATGCCTAAGGAAGATGTTTAGAACAACTTACACCACCTGATAATCCAGCCCGTTCCTTTCAGACGACACAATGAACAGTGAATGTCAACATCAACAACCTGGCTTACAACTGCACCATGCTGAATTCTAGCCATGTCAGTCCTAGAAGTCCTGTATTCTTTCATCAGTGAGAAACCCATTTCAGTTTCCAGTGCACGTTAAAAAGGATGAAAATCTGAAGTTGGGCAGTTCCCATTCCATCGCTCCGTGCCCGCAGTCACCGTGTGCAGCTTTGCAGGGCCAGCTCCCCCCACGGTGGCAATCACAGCTCTGGTTCTGCTGCAGTGGAAACCATTCCCTCTGCTCTGGGAGAGCTCCTGCACGCTGGGGACAGGCACAGGGACATAACTGGGCAGAGCCAACTGCCCCAGGATGCCATTTACACAGCCAGGGTTGCAACTGGGCACTGCTGCCAGTCTCGGGGCAATGCCAAAAAACTGTTCTCACAGAAAGCTGGATTCAGGAAAATTACAAGCACTTCAGATCCCTAGATGTTTGTCTGACTGAATGTATGCAATTTATCTACAGAGAATGCCTAATTTAGATAGGCACAATATTAGAATTAAATAACATCATGCTCAGTGGCAGCATGATCTGTATTTCAAATACTTTTAAAACATCAGCTCCTGTTTGAAGTCCTGTGACATTGAGGAACTGAGGCCCTTAAGTGCTGTAACAGTGTAAGTTAAGAAAAAATACAATCTCACATCTTACTTATTTCTTCTAGTACTGGTATTTCTATCTGAATAGGTCATATGGTTTCTCCTATCAGAACAGTTTAATTTTCTACCACTATGTTTCAGTCTCTACTGTATTTCTTAGACTTTTTTACTCCTTCCTCTTATTTTTTCCGAGTAAGAAAACCTGATTAAACTCTGCTTTAGTCACAGGCACATTCTAAATGATAGGACACTACAGCCACCCCTGCAATAATAAGCAGCAGTGGGTGATTAATTTCTTTGGAGGTGAGCTGGGGGTGTTCTTGAGGAGCACAACTGTTATCTGCTATTTTTGACCTGCTATTCCTACTACAATAAAGTCATCTACTGCTTGGTCTGCCATGTTCCTTGGGAATGCAGCTCATTTGTCTGTGCTGCAATGCTGAGGCACAGATGATGGCTAAAGGAAGCACTGGAAAATTCAAAAACCTGCAAAACTTGGAGCTTTTGTCCTATTTATATAAGCAATAAGTTCAAACATCCTTATCATCTAATTCAGATGGCAGACATAATTTTCCCTCATCTTAATGTACAGGACTGATGTTTTGGTTTGACACTTGGTTGTTTCAGCATAACAGTGAATAAACTATGACCTACTTTGTGCACTACTGCATCACACAACTGGCTTGTGACAGTAGCTTAGGAAAGGTTTAGGCTCCCACACTCTAAAAAGAGTGCACTTCTTCTTCACAGAACTCTAAGAACTACATTTAGTAATTTAAACAGTTTGAAAACAGTAATGAAAAATACTATTAACTCAGACTATAAGAAGATGAAAATCCATTAAAGAAAATCTATTGGAATAACTTATTAGCAGGGGCTTAGAGTAAAATATATATATAGAAAGGAGTTTCACCCTAGCCTCCCAATGAAATGCCAAAGAAGCCTGAACATGAAATTGGAGCCACCAGCAATCTTGCTGAAATAAGACCTGACTTTTAAAGAGAAAGTTTTTTTATAAAGGGTTTATAATTTTAGCCTCTTACTATTTGAAGTCTGCCTGTATACAATTATTACTGAAACCTTTCACTCCAGGAAATATTCAGTCACTAGTGATAGGGAAATGATCTATTGAATACAGACATACTAAGCAAATAAATGTTGAAATGAAAATTATTCCTACCCAT